TTACGTTTTGAACTCAGGTGATAACACTAAATTACCCTGTTCTAATCTCCCACCGACGAAGCACCACAGTATCTTTAGAAACTTATTAATTAAGTCATCCCTTAATTAAAACACGAAACGAAGCCTTATAGATTGTGGCGGTCTTGGAAGTTTTCACGTCATGATGGAGATCATGCCTGTAAAACTTCTTGATGTCATGATATCGAGAAATAAAAAAATCCATTTTAGCCTTTATCTGTTGCCTTTAAAGGTATACATAACGGAAGTTATGGAAACTGAAAATCCGCCCTGGTAATAAGCAATAAATCGCCATGTTCTTCTCGAATTACATGTCAAATTTAAGTATCGATGGAAATGTCTGTAAAATTTAAGGAATAACTATGGCAACATGATCTAAAGATGAAGATGACAGTTTTGTTTTCATGTCAACAGTGATATTATTTTTTCTATGGGATAAGTCATTCGCTCGTACCCGAACTCAGTGGTATGAAGCTTACCGTCGAGTATGTGAATAAAAGCTGTCAACTGGACCTTAAAACTCCGACAATGTGGACCAAAGATGTATGAATTAATGAATACGTAAATCATAACCTACCGTGGTTTAACAGGTACATGTAATGCCCGTTTAACTGAGGCCCAAAATGTAAAACATCCTTCTGAGTAAAACTTAAAGACCTTCTGCTTCGTCAAGACGATGCTTCCATTCAACCTCGTTCTCAGGGAACTCACTTTCAGGAAAATCAAGGGGCCTGGGCCTAAAAGAGCTTGAAGTTCGCCGTCAAATACGCAAAGCTCGAGTTCAATGCGTACATATGATGTGTGGCGCTCGTTAGCTGTGGAACGTCCTTATCTGTAATCTCCTCTATCAAAAGACAAACGGCATTGAGGATTGGCGATGCCACGAACATTGCGGTGTATACTGAAATGGGAGCTATTCATCATAAACTCCCAAACAAATAAGCAACGAAACGATGCAATAAATGCGTACAGTGTCATCAAATCCTTCTTAAGAACGACTGAAAACGAGTCAACAAGTCTATACCGGCCGAAACAAAGACGGAAAGGAGAAAGTGTCATGTAAAATAGAATTCTTTATTTCCAAACTCGAATTGTTGTATTTACAAGCTAACAACAATTTTGCCATCAATGTGCTGAGGTAGTTGCCGCAGGGTTTCACAGGCATCTTCCAGTGACACAGTATGGTGAATGACCGGTCTAAAGAAGAAATATTGCTGGTCTAGTATGATAAGTTATGAAAGTCTGAGTCTAATTGTCGTTCAAATCACGATCTTAGAAGAACTGCAACTATGAGCAAAAGAGCTGCAGAACTTTGGTCTTCGTGCACTCTTCCCCAACCGACCCCTACTCAAATGTGACACTTCCTCTGTGGCACTGTTCACGTACCAGAAGTTTACATCGCACTGAGTGCATTTCGACATCAAAAGAGAGAACCAGATCTCTGAGACCGATCTTGGAGTAATTACAGCTATGTTATCTAGATCCCGCGCATTTCATACATCTACCGTTGTATGCTAAAAAAGTCAGGCGCAAACGTTCATTTTCCCCTTGTCTCCGTTTATCTCCTCCATAGCAGATAATTTAGTGTTAACAACTGAGTTGAAAACGTACATTGGCCGCCGTAAAGGATAAAAAAAAGCTGACGTTTCGAGCGTTAGCCCTTCGTCAATCGTTCTGACGACTATACTCTCCCACCGACGCAGCACCATAGTTTCTTTAGAAACTTACCCCCCTAAATTCATTTATCTCCTCCGTAATTCTTTTTCTCTTTTTTCCCTTCCCTTAAACTTAGATTCGTAAGAAACTGATGTTAGGGTGTAAAGGGTTAGAGGGTACGTAGGTATCTTCCTTGTTGACCTAAGGAAAGGACCAGGGAACCTTTTTTTTTAGCAATCACTTAACCATTTCCTAATGGTGATTGTCAACTGATGAAAACAGGTTTGACTGAAATAAGGTAAAGCGTCTAAGAATCAGGAGGGTCCAACTGGATGTAAGAGAAGGGTTAGTAATATTTCACAAATTATTAATCACATAGAAAATAAAAAGCAGAGAATACCTTATCATGTCCATTGTAGTAAGAATGCTAGAAAAGTTTATAAATTATAAATTATCTCATGACTAATAATCTTCTTCCCAGGCAACAATCAGCTTGTAGATGTCTCTATAGTGTTAAAACAGATCTCTAGCGTGTGTTCAATGATATACTGGCTGCCATCGATAATCACCAGGATGTGGTACTTGTTTATTGGGTTTCAGTATCATCAGCCTTTGATACCATAGATCATACGCTGTTTTTAAGGAGATTTCAACATCGTTATGAAATTGATAAGTCCGCTCCTCAATGATTCAGCTCCTTATCTTCGTGATCGTACGTAGTCAGACGAAGTTAAAGATGTGTCATCATCGTCTGAAGAAAAGGTGCTCTATGGCGTGCCTTAGGGGTCAGTACTGGGGCTTCTACTGTTTGCAATGATTTTTGCACCTATAGAGGATGTTATTAAATAGAATAAGAGAGATGGTAAGTTTTGAGCTCGGTAAAGAAATAGAGAAAGATGTTTTTCGTCTTGTAACGAGCGTGGAACAAAAATTCTGAGTCCCCATGAGGAATCGAACCTCAAACCCTTGGACTCAGTACCGCGCTGCTCTACCACTGAGCCACAGAGACTCTACGGTGGGCGAGGTCTATTACGAAGTTCATATGATATGCGTCCTGCGTACTGCTATGATCAGCAATGTCAATGAACTTACCATCTCTGTTAAGCTATTTACAAACATGACGCTATCGAAACGAGTTTAATTTAACAGGTTTTTACTTCCAACACTTACTTACTGTTTGGCTACTAGCAGTTTTGAAGTTGCTATTGACATTTGCTGCGTTTGATCTTAGTTTTACCTTTCATGAGGGATGCCACTGCATGTCAGACGATGAAATTTGCAAGAACCCGCAGGGTCTAACTTGCATCAGTGACTCAGGAGAAAGCGACGAGAAGTGAAGAGGCGTTTAAACTGTGAAATAATCTCATGTTTGATTGAGTCTTAATTTCATGCTAAATAGTTCTCGTAGAGGCCACTAATTGTTACAATATCATGTATTTTAGCCTCAAAATGTATCCCTCTGACCTAAAATGTGGTATGAATAAGAGAATTCGTAAAACATACTTACTGGTATAATTAGTACACCTTCCCCGGATAGCTTTCTTTCCGATCACTGCTCTATTTTGTGCTGTCTCAATGTTTCGAAAGTACTGGCTACTGTTAAATAAACCAGTTTCAGGAAGCTCAAGTCCCTGGATTTAGTTGCTTTTAAAAACGATATTGCTAGTAGTGATTTGTACAACATCGCTTCAACTGATTGTAATGAAGTTGCGGAGCTGTATAACAACTGTATGCGCTCCATTTTGGATTGTCATGCACCGATGACATCAAAAAGAGTGTTCGCTCGTCCCAGCGCTCCTTGGATGAGCAGTAATATCTTAGAAGCTAAGCGTCAACGTCGAAAAGCAGAGAGATAATGGAGATCTTCCAAATGTCAGTCTGATCTAGCTGTTTTTAAGAGAAAAAGGAACCATGTGACTTTTCTTATGAATGAGGCTAGGCGGGTCTATTATAGTACTCTCATAGCAGAAAATAGCCGCGATCAAAAACATCTGTTTAAAGTAAGCAAGAAAGTTTTGAACATCACAGGTACCCCAGTTTTGCCACCGCATGAAGAGAAACAGAAATTAGCTAATGAGATGGGTATGTTTTTCATTAAGAAAATCGCCGATATTCGTTTAGACCTCGATAATCATGATAACAACAAGCTTCCACAGACCGCGTTTCTAATGACATCGAAATTGATTCTCTACTCTTCAAGTTTATTTCTCTGTCTCAAGAAGAAGTGCACGACCTGGTTCGAGCATCCAGTAAGAAGTCTTGTGGCTTAGATCCAATTCCCACGAAGCTATTGTTGGACTGTTTAGATGTTTTCCTTCCAATCATCACTAAGATGATCAATTACTCCTCAGAAAACGGTGACTTTCCCTCTGCATAGAAAAATGCTTTGGTTCTGCCTTTGCTCAAGAAAGGTGGTTTGGAACCTATATTTAAAAATTATAGACCTGTCAGTAATTTACAGTTTGTGTCCCAACTTGCTGAAAGTGCAGTTGCTAAACAACTCCATCATCACATGGTAGCGAATGATTTATTTCCAGTGTTACAGTCTTCGTACAGAAAGTTTCACAGTACTGAAACCGCACTCTTGAAAGTGAAAAATAAAATTCTATTAAATATAAATAAACAGCATGTCACACTGCTTGTTTTGTTAGACTTGAGTGCGGCGTTTGACACCACTGACCTGGCATTGTATTTTACCGGAGAGACTTAAATTTGGGTTTGGGATTCGTGGTACAGCACTGTCATGGTTTGCATCTTATCTAAGTAACAGATCCCCGCAAATACTTATTGATAGTTCCCTTTCTATGAACTTTGAACTGACTTGTGGTGTTCCTCAGGGCTCATACCTTTGCCTATTATTGTTTGTATTGTATGCGAGCAAGATTTTTCAAATCGTGGACAAACATCTGCCTGGCATTCACTGTTATGCAGATGACAGCCAACTTTATTTGTCCTTCTGCCCCAATGCTAGTGTTAACCAAGAGGTTGCTTTGGCTAGAATGGAAAGCTGTATTTATGATATTCGTAATTGGATGTTGATGATAAATTGAAACTGAACGACGACAAGATTGAGTTCCTGATCATTGGTACATCCCAGCAACTCGCTAAAGTAACTATTTCCAGTCTCCGTGTTGGCAACTCAGCAATTACTCCCGTGTCATCTGCGATGAACTTGGACTGATGGTTCGAAAAACTCACAATGGCAACTCACATAACAAGAACATGCAACTCTGCCTCTCACTACTTATACAATCTGAGGAGGATAAGAAAGTACCTGTCTAAAGAGAACACAAAAACTCTGGTCCATGCCTTTATCTCAAGCAGAATTGACTATTGCAATAGTTTATTGTAGAGTGCTCCGGAACATCAAATCAACAAATTGCAACGTGTTCAACACGTGTGCTAGGTAAAAATGCAATGAAAGTAAATATTGTCACACTACTCCTTTATTGATGGAGTTACACTGGTTACCTATTTAGTTAAGAATTGAATTTAAGATCGTATTGATTGTTTTCAAGATTTTTAAGGGCTTAGCATCGTCTTATCTAAGTTCTTTAATTACACGCAAGCCTGAGTCAAGATATAATTTAAGGAATTCCAGTGACCTTACTCAGTTATCCTAGTTTTAAGTCTAAGGCAACAATTGGTGACCGGGCATTTATATTTGCGGCACCTAAGCTATGGAATGATTTACCAAGGGATATAAGAGAATCTAGTTCTATTAATAGTTTTTAATCGAAACTTGAGACGTTTCTTTTTAAGAAAGTATTTTATAATTGATAAAGTTTTTATAGTTATTTAAGTATTGATAAAGTTTTAAATAGAACATTTCAAGTAATAATTAGTTATATGTTATATATCTCATTTATCATGAATCGCATTTAATTGTTATATCATTATTATTATTATTTTTATTTTATCTTTCGTTTATTGTAATTATTATGTTACGCCGCGTTTGAATATATATACATAGAATTTGCGCCCTAGAAGTCAATAAATTATTATTATTAGTAGTAGTAGTAGTAGTAGTACGTTCACGCAAGTGAGGGAGATTTAATAGGCTATTTGTAAATAAAGCAATTAAATGGACTTTTTTTCGGCCTCTCGGATGTCACGTGTACAGTCACGTCACATTACTTTGTATTGTTTGAGTATGACTGTGCCTTATATCATTAAAAGGTAATTATCGATATCAGAAGTTTTTCTTCCTTAACAACCTATGATACAGCCATACACAATAGTTACCTTGTTGAGCCTCGCTTTCATGTTGACTAGTAAATGGAACAAAAATGGTAACTATTTCGTTGTTTCAGGCTAAACAAGCTAGAATTTAGCTAGAACTGTGTAAAGTAAGCAAATAGCAGAATATCAATTGATAATCTTTAAATGTGTGACAGTTGAGACGCTTAAATCTGCTATTTCAGTTGTTAAAGGCCATTTTTGGTATCTCCTTGTCACGTTTTCGGTCACGTGACCTAATTTTGCATACTCTGATTGGGATTCGTATTATAAAGATGTAACGTGCACTAATAAACGTTACATTTAGGCAGTATTAGTGGTTAAATGACTGAGCCTCGTTTCCGCGAATTTAGGGGGTTTCGCATGAAAACACCCCCTTAACACAGAACCTATACCACAATTCAACTCTACAAACTAAATGATATTAATCAGCAGGTCTTATTCTATAAAAATCCGCTATCAAACCTTTTCTGACCCGATCATTGTACAAAACCCTCATTTTGAGGTCTTGGCTTCCGGACTATTTTGAAAGTGTCAAAACTCAGACTGTTCTGTGTCTTGGCTTGTGAATTGTGGTCATTGTGGGATAACTGGAAATTATTCTATATCAACTCAACAGCAGTTCGATCTGGAATTACCCTTGTTCCTTCGCTCTAATGGTAAACACAAGCGAGTAAATGTGTTTTAGAACAATTAAAAATTAATTTTTAACATTTCTGTTGACCGTAACAGAAACCAAGATATTAACCGTAAAATGGCCAATATTTTAATCAAAATTCCCGCACTCTTTAAGTAGTGATCTCGACATTGTGTTCATTACTCAAGAGATGAGCTGTCCCCTTCTCTATCAGTTTGATCTTCACTGCTTGAACACGATTCACTGCTGAGCCATTCCCCTTTTTCTAGCCCTTGCATATCAGACAAGCGCCTAATGCGCTTCTCGGCAGAATCAAGTTCCAGCTCAAACCTATGTGCGAGGATGAGCCCCATCGCTTCTTCAGCCTTCTCGACAGCCATAGCAATGTTTTGTTCAAAGTAGTGCTGATCAGATCGCAAAAGAAGATACTTTATTCTTGTCCCTAATCCCATGTTACCATCAGCCGTTCTAGATTCAGTTAAATCAAGGTGCCTTTTTGCTTTCATAACGTCCTCTTTGCAGATGTCGGTGTCGTTGTTCGCTACCTCGAAGCAGGGCTTTAGGAGCAGATCTGCCATTTTGGTGTTGATGTATCCATTGTTGTTTACAGAGTACTGACATGCCCGCTGATAAGACTTGTACGCTTCAGTTTTTCGGGTGTCCCGAGCACTGTTCGGTGCAGGTAAAGAGTCAAGCAGTGCGCCACGAGTGTAACACAGTTCTCCTTTATCGTCGTGAGAATCCTGAAGTTCAAGAGCTTTTTGTGCCTTTTCCACGCATCGCATAGCATTTCCAAATTTTCTCTGACGCTTGTACACCGCCGTCAAAAGATTCAAGGCTCGTCCCGTCAGAATTCCCGGGTTTTTCATCTCCAGTTCCCGTTTAAGTACAGATTTTAGTATTGTTTTGGTACCTTTAAGATTATTCTGGAAATAAAAGGCCTTTGCGCGCTCAATCTCTAAAATTGCTTTCATGTCAACATCTTCAGGCGACCTTCTTGCCAACTCTTCTTGTATTATTCGTTCATGTGCCTCAAACGTCCCGTTATCTTGTAGATCGTGTAGCTTTGTCATGAGTGAGATATAACGGGAATTATTCATACATCCGCGCTTTGGAATGACTGGCATTGGAGAATGGACAGAGCTGAGTTGAACCAATATTAAGTCGACTTGGATGCCTTGACTGTCTTCTTCTATGTCCAGGGGTTTTATGACTGAGTCGTTTTCTTCATCAGAAGAAGTGAGACAACTCTTGTTACGACATTTACAAGTCTGCACATGACACAGTGTGTTGTTAGAACCATTCTGGATTATGGGAAAACCTGAAGCCTTAATAGATAGAACACTCTGGGATCGTCTCATCTCTTGATCCTGATCTGTTGCTTTTGCTGCATGTTTCCTATGATGTGACTTAAATTTCCCATGGACAATTCCTCCAGTAACTGGTTCTCGAGTCTGAACTTCATCGGTGTAAGCTTCAGGAACATCCTCGACTAATTCTACAAGAAAAACTTCACAGGAAAGACTATCCTGAGTAGTCATTGTTTAGGCGATTGAAAGTAAGTGAACCAGTAACTGAAACGTTCCTAATGTGGGCATGACTTGATGATTACCGTTATTCAAAGTAATAGAACGTTTGAAGACAATTTAGGTGCACCTGAAAATAAAACAAAAAGACAAAAACAGGATTTAAACAATGGATGGATTATAATACGAAACCTAATGAAAAACATTCAATATGCTTGGGAAATCAAGAAACCCGCTCGGCATACTTACATAAGTCGCACCTAATGGACAGAAAAAACTGAGCATGATAGAACGCGTTAAAATTTCATCGAGGGTCCATGTTATACCAAAGTCAAGTAACCACAACTGCCACCACACCAAGGAAAGGAAAAATATCTCAGCTGGAATCTATAGGCGTACACAGGCACCCTGCGTGTTTTCTCGACCAATCATAGGGCGAATTAGAGCAAAACTGGTCCAAGCCGAATTACTTTCGACCCTCAAATTTCAGACGGATTTAAGGTTCGAAGCAATTGCGTTTCTGGGCTTTTTCATCATGATCCTTAAACAAGGGAAAGATTGAACCTTTGGAACGTAGCTAGGTTTTGAAACTTCTCAAAGAACTTTTAAAAATTAAACATTTTTCTCATAGGTCAAAGTGTCCGGAAATAGAATCAATAGAAGTTTGGTTATATTCCTGTACTAAGTCTCGTATATAACAATACTAAAAACTCTCAGTGTGACTACCTGAAAAAGAAAAATGTAAGGAAAGTGCAAAGTCTCGGGAAATTTTATTAAATTTTTCATGGTCCCAGGAAAAGCTCTAGTACGGAAGCACATTTTAAAAAGCCAATCATTGACTTAGGGTAGCTTCGTTGTTTATTAGCGATATTTATGCAGGCTGGCCCAGTTCAGCTTCAAGCTGGTTTAAATAGGGGCCTGCTTAGGACATACTGAGTAAAACAAAGTGTACATAGAAATATAAAATACAAAAGGAGCCGACAACACAAATTACAATTTACACATAAGATAGACAATAATAAAATGTACAATGTTACATTAAAAAGTACATTACATCAATAACTGAAATGGAGTTTGAGAAGTTACGTAGAGAAGTTGTGTTTCGTAGTTTGCTAGTCAGAGCATTCCAAGCCTTTGCACCTTTGTAACGAAGGGAACCTTGATATTTAGATGGTTTTAGCCAGGGGGCAATCGTAAAAGGTCTCTATATCTGGTATTGTTAACCTCCCTTCAGAGCGAGAGTTACGAGAGGAAACCTAGTTACTTTTTCTCAAAGTTTTCCCTCAAGATATTTACTAGTTCGGCTGACGATATAATACGCCTTCTGCTATGGGTATCAAGTTTAAGACTTGAGTCGTCACCATGACAACATTACTTCGAATGACAGGCAGAGGTATTCCAATTTTTGGCCTAGATACCTCAATATCTTTACTTTCCCATGGTGCTATGTCTTCATTCTTTGTCATATTATACAACACTTTGACAGTTTTACAATATTCTCTAATTTGTCATTTTTCTTAATGTATTCGATTAGCTCTGGCAGATTTTAACAAAATAGGCTATTTGATAGGAACTGTATGTGGTTATGACTGAGCAAATTTTTCAAAAAATTTACCGAAGGAAACGCGATAAACCTTATTAGAAAGCCTTTCTTTTTTTCTTATTCCCAAAACATTACGCCATAAAATAACATTTCATTAAGATCGATATTTTGAATCTGTTGTCGATTCTGTTGCCATTTTGCAATCTTTCTCTCGGTGTTTCCTTTTTGTTTACCTCTTTTTCAGGCGTAGAGGGCCAATGAATATCGTGGGTATGGTTACTAGAAACTCTAGAGATCATTCGATAAAAGTTGTATTTTGTTATACTCTTTTAATACACGTTTTTAGATAATAATCGCGCGGTCGCATCGAGCTGCCATGTTAGTTCACAGCCAGCCCAAGCTCCAGCTGTGAGATAGTCAGAGAGTTATGGCGAAATTATAAGAGCTTGTATGGGAATAATTACGACTGCTCTTAGGAATAAAAAAATACAGTCAGATTCTCAATTTGAAATGAAAAATAAATGTTGGTCATCGGGGATTGAAGAAAATATGTTCCATTATATTCTCTGCGTATTCCACCAATTATGACAAAATTTTCATGTTTATTGCTTCCTTGTTGTCAAGAGTCGGTCATAAATAATTCATCCCTTAATTAAAACACGAAACGAAGCCATATAGATTGAAGCGGTCTTTTCACGTCATGATGGAGATCGTTCCTATAAAACTTCATGATGCTATGATATCCAGAAATAAAGAAAATTCGTTTTTGCCTTTATCTGTTGCCTTTAAAGGTATACATAACGGAAGTTGTGGAAACCGAAAATCCGTCATGGTAATATTCTTCTCGTTAAGTGAAAGCATCAGTGGAAACGTCTCAGAACAATTTAAGGAAGGAATAAGGAATACTATGGCAAAATTATCTAAAGATGAAGATGACAGTTTTGTTTTCATGTCAAAAGTGATGCTCATACTAGAGCTCAGTAGTATGAAGGTTACCGTCGAGTAGTTGAATAAAAGCTGTCAACTGGACCTTAAAACTCCGACAATGTGGACCAAAGAACTATAACCTGATGAACATGTAAAACATATCCTACCGTGGTTTGACAGGTACATGTAATGCCCGTTTAACTGAGGCCAAAACTGTAAAACATCCTTCTAGGTGAAACTAAAAGACTTTCTGCTTCGTCAAAACAAAGCTTACGCACAGCCTCGTTCTCAGGGAACTCACTTTCAGGAAAATCAAGAGACCTGGGCCTAAGAGAGCTTGAAGTTCGTCGTCAAGCACACAAAGCTCGACTTCAATGCATATGATGTGTGGCGCTTATTAGTTGTGGATGGTCCTTATCTATAATTTCCACTATCAAAAGACAAACGGCATTGAGGATTGGCGATGCCATGAACATTGCGGTGTATACTGAAATGGGAGCTATTCATCATAAACTCCCAAACAAATAAGCAACAAAACGATGCAATAAAGTGTCATCATATCCTTCTTAAGAACGACTGCATGAAAACGAGTCAACAAGTCTATATCGGCCGAAACAAAGATGGAAAGGAAGAAGTGTCACGTAAAATAGAATTCTTTATTTCTAGACTCGAATTGTTATATTTACAAGCTAACAACAATTTTGCCAACAGTGTGCTGAGGTAGTTGCCGCAGGGTTTCACAGGCATCTTCCAGAGACACAGTATGGTGAATGACCGGTCTAAAGAAGAAAACATTAATATAGATTGTCTAGTATGTTAAGTTATAAACGTCTGAGTCTAATCGTCGTTCAAATCACGATCTTAGAAGAACTTCCACTATGAACAAAAGAGCTGCAGAACTTTGGTCTTTGCGCACTCTTCCCCAACCGACCCCTACTCAAATGTAACACGTCCTCTGTGGCACTGTTCACGTACCAGAAGTTTACATCGCGCTGAGCGCATTTCGACATCAAAAGAGAGAACCAGATCTCTGAGACCGATCTTGGAGTCATTACAGCCATGTTATCTAGTTCCCGCATTTCACACCATTAATCTACCGTTGTATGCTAAAAAAAAGTCAGGCTCAAACGTTCATCTTCCCCGTCTCCATTTATCTCCTCAATAATTCTTTTCCTCTTTTTCCCCTTCCCTTAAACTTAGATTCGTGTAAAGTTTGTTTGATCTCTTGAAACTATTGAGGGAAGAAGTCTTCTGTTCTTACCTTATCACTGAGTTAGACAGTTTATCCATTATGTCTTGGAGGATGTCTTCACACAAGTTAAGAGAAAACGGGCAAATTTCGGTCAAAACGAGCAATAACGTCTCTCTGATACGTTGGACCAAAAAAAAAACACAAAAAAACAGAAGAGACACGAAAAAAATAAGGCGGCGACGAGAAAAAGAAGGTTAAACCGCAACATCACTCTTTGTAGGGAGACATAGGTCATATTTTCTTCACTTCATGATATCAGTCGAAGGTCAGATGTTAAGGATTGGAAAAAGGACAGTGAGAAAGTCAACGATTCTCAGAAGGCCCCTTGAGGGTTTCATCCTCTTCAACTTCTTCGAATGGCTAGTATCTAATTTCTCCTTACAATATCACCCCTAAATAAAACACAAAGCACACGAGAATAAAGGAAACGATCACTAACTAAAGAAGTTCTTGATCGTTAAACAAATTCTCCATGTTAGCACCTGATGAAATGTAAAGAGAACAGTTGAGAGAATATGCATACTGATGTTAGGGTGCAAAGGATACGTAGGTATCTTCCTTGTTGACCTAAGGAAAGGACAGACTCAAAACGTAAATCAATGGCACCAGGGAACCTTTTTTCAGCAATCACTTAACCATTTCCCGATAGTGATTGTCAACTGATGAAAACAGGTTTGACTGAAATAAGGTGAACATCCACGCAATTTACTGTCCTCCATAAATCCCTACCTTTTGATAAAGTCCATGAATGTTCAAAGAGAAAACTGATTGCAGCTCCTTTGAGGTAAAGCATCTGAGAATCAGGAGGGTCCAACTGGATGTAAGAGAAGGGTTAGTAGTATTTCACAATTAGTGATCACATGGAAAATAAAAATTAGATTACACTTTATCTTGTCTATTGTAGTAAGTATGCTAAGAAAGTTTGAGAATTTTGAAACTCTTGAATAAAGTGCACCTTTTGATTGCATATCATAAAATCAAAACCAAAGTAATCACAGCAGCTGATCACAGAAAAGAAAAATGTGCAACAAATGTAAAATTGTCCTTAGAGGATTCTTACCTGAAGATCTTGATGAGAAGTGATCCATCTTCCAGCCACTCCAAGACAGGAGATCACATCATGTTTGGATGGCACTGAATTTTGGCCAGGTAGACCAATGCCTGTTCCCTGAATTATAACATCATCATCTTGACGAAGAACTGTTCAATAGGAGATTTGATTGGTTCATTTTAAAAATTAAACAGTTCATTTAATTTTGTTTCAGATCTGCTATAATTTTTTTTAAAACTGATATGAATGTACCAGTAGGGAATGACAATCAGAAGGAAGACATCATTTTAATTCAAACTCATTAAGTTCTAACAGAATGGTATCATATAAAAATAACCTGAAGTGTGTGCAGTGATCTACAATTTTGCTGGACAGCCAGAACAACAAATAAATCACAGCATCCCATTGCATCAAGGGTTAATATGAAGAGTGGCCACTCACAACCAAAACTAAACTCCTGCAAAGGGTTAAGGCTGACCCTCTCAACAAGAGTTTGTGTGATTTTCTCTTACCTCCATTATCAATCACACAATCCACACCAAGTCCACCAGTTTCATCCATACAAATATCTACTAATGACTTCTTTGTTTTCCTCAAGTCTATTACATTTGCTACAAGAAGACATAGAGATTGTGTTAACCCTCCACAAGAATAGAAAGCCTCCTTACTGTTCTCTACATTTTTGCTACATAAAAAAATGCATCTGTCAGTTATGGTTCTTAAGATATATGTCTCAGGACATATGATTTAAAAAAACATGACAGCTGAACACTAATTCTCTTTTACTTTCAGGATGGTGACCTGAAAAAGAAGGGAAGGAATGAAATGGTTCGAAATATCTTGTTATCCATGTATGACACAGGATGAAGCAGGGATATTGTTAGCCACGTATCAGGACTGTTAATTCACTTGACATGCCCACAACCTTGGGGACTTTCGTTCCATCAGATATCACTTTCCCTTTTATTACAAATGGTTAGCCCAATAGTGGAGTAATGCCCTTACCAAGTGGTGGTTGAAGACTCTGCAGGTAAATAACTTCTTCTTCTGATGATGCTGTTGCAAGAACCTGTCATTAATGTTGAGGAGAATACAACTATTATCATATGAATGTATGGCCCACCAACACTCTAGCTGGAAAAACAAGACAAAATCCCTCTTGTAAGGGCTGCACCCAATAGCTGTACAAAAGGCCATTTCACCCTGAAAGATGTGAGAGGCAAGAAGAAAGGAAAAAAAAAGAAAGAGCAGGAGATATATGATAAATTACTTATTGACTGAGTGGAAGGGCTGGACCAGAAAATGTTTTGAACACTCTTGATTATAATGCGTGGACATCACTGTGCTCAGTTTATACTTATGACCTCAAACTAAAAGTTTCCTGTCCAGCCCTCCCACTCAGTCAACAAGTGAATATTACTTTTTGTTAAAAAGTGACGTTGTCAGCTCTCAGATTGCAAAAGGATTAAAAAGAACTCTGAATTGTCTTATGTCAACCATACCTTGGCCCCCCAAATATGGGCAAGTTGGATAGCCATAACACCACTGGCCTGAAATAAAGAAATTCATATCATGACCATCATACTGTGAGCCTGGTAATCAAACTGTATTTTTGATTTCGATTAATGTTGGATTAAAATGTATTTTTGTCATGCAAATCACTTGAAAACCTTGACTGTTCCTTTGGCAAATAATTGTCATATAAAATCTTTCTTAAACTGTGCCTGAATGTCAAGAATAATGGTAATAAAACCAAAACAGTGACTTTAAAAACAACTCCTTTGTATAAAATACTCACTGAGGCCCCGTTGAATATCAGTATTGTCTCTCCTCCACATACTCTGGCTTGGTAGTATAGTGCAGTGTAAGCTCTAACAACATCACCAATGCAACCTGCTGCATCTATGTGATCCACTTTCTCTGGTTTTCGGGCTGAACATAAATTTCATGTGGCGTATAGACATTTTTTATTAGTTACAATCATTTCATTAATTTAAGCCAGAGAGAATGAAAGATGGGAAAAATCAAGAATTTATACATGCCACTAGTACAAATACATTTTTGAATAGATCAACACAAAAATTTTGTAAGTTAACATTATAGGATTCACTGCCTCGCACTGTAATTTTGTCAAAACATGGCACTGACTTAAAAACTGAGATTATTTAACCAAATTATGCTTGATATCTAAATACTGATTCTCCAAGCAGTATTCATACATATCTTTAAATTAGTTTTAGCTTTGAGGGTTTGTGTTAAATGAAATCATATCTCCTAATTAATGTCTTTACTTCTCCTTGGCTTCTTTCTGCTTGAAAATATATTGAAATTCAAGGAGAAATTCCATTTTGGTCACTCCAGGTGGTGAAATTGTTGATGTGAGACTAAGGAAACTATAAAAATTTGGATTTGATTCTACCAGATCAACTGTGTACTGTCCAATCACAGTAAAGTTCAGGGTCCAGTTGTTAGAGGGCCAATTAGCACTAGCTCAAGGTTAAATTGTAATCTGGGTCTCCTTATTCCTTTATTCAAAAGCCATTTTGGAATAGTTTTCTGTGTTCTTTTTAGAGCATCAAATAGTCATATTCCAGACAAAAAGAAATTTGACTGAATTTTTTTTAAAGCTTTCAGATCCGAAATCATATTTCACACTAAGCCTGGATTAACTTAACCCAGCTTTGGACAACCTGGCCTGGGACATTGGAGTAAACCTTAATACTACAAACTGCTTAATGTTGATGTTTGTGGTTTACTTTTCTCACTTCTTATTGGCTTCTCCTCAAGAACATAGTAACATTCCGTAAATATTTATGGTGTTCATGATTTTTTTTAACTTTTACCGTAACTAACCAAGTTTTGCATAGAGCTCTGAGTTTGTATATTGCAGTATGCAATTATTTCCCAAATACTCACCAACATCATACTGTGATAAGATGCAAAAGTTTGCACATCCTGCTGAAGCTGAATCTAATGGAAGCAGGCCTGGTAATGTGGAGTACATAATAGTAGTTTATTTATAATCAAAACCAACCCACTACTGCAGCTACTATAATCATCACTCAGTTACAGCATTCAATGCAAGGATCTGTACGAAGGAATGTGGTAGATGGAAAATTCTGTAAATTAACAGGAGAATAGTCTTCATTTCTGAGGAATTTTGTGTAGTTGCAAGACAATTCTATCATTACTGATGCATTGTGAACACTATACTATAAGAAATACAATGTTAACACCCATTCTTATGCTGTAAGTCATCATAATATCCATGCTTTGTTGTACATTAAGCCCATGTGTGGAATAAGAAACAAGACAAATAAATTTTGGATACTGTACACTGTTTTTGCACAGTGACACCAATTTTTTTTCTAAGAGATCACTTCTTATCTGATTCCTTCCACCTTTCTGAATTTCTGAATACCTGAAATTTTAGCTATTTTTGGACTCCCCTTAATAAGTGACATGATTATTAGAACAAAGAAAAACTCACCAGCCACTTCATCTCCAATGCTGACTCTTGTGACTGCTGATCCAACTGAAAGCAAATAAATGATTAAACATGGACTCAAATATAACATTTAACATATTAAATGTTCAGAATGTTTATCCAATGTTTGATGAAACAACTGTGTCTTTGAGTCACTACCATCTTATGAATGATGGATTAATTGAAGTACCTCATAAAAGGAAAAATTGAGTCCAATATAGAATAAATTTACTTTGACATAACCTCTTTCACGTGTGGCCCTTCTCTTAAACTGAATTTTGATAATTTAAATATCGTGCTTATTTTAAGTTTGGCAATGTATACCATTTGTAACAACTCCTGATATTTCTCTTCCAAATGGCTGTTCCTTCTTGCTTATCAAGTTAAATTCCTCTAAAATCTGCAACAGAAAAAAACACACTCATGTCATCAGCCTTAACAATCGGAATATGAAGCACTCTTGTACAGAAGAAATTTATTAGCTATTTAGCAAGTGTTATTCAGAGTTTTGCACCTTGTTATGGTGTGGAGACAAGCCGCAAGCTTTGACCTTTACTGCAACGCTATTTTCATCTAGTGTTGGGCACTCAAACTAAAAAATAAATAAAACATATTTTTCAAAACAAACAGACTCCAAGTTGGTGTGAAAAAAAGTGGCCTACAAGATCCAGCAGACTATGTTACTGATGTTCTGACTCATTTCAATTTGACGTATCCTCTGATCTATTGCCGAACGTAGCACCATGGAATTTTTTTTTAGAATACAAAGGGAAATGCTGTGATGATGGTGACGTAATCTATGCTTCTGTTCTGCAGTAGATCATGGGTAAGAACCAATGAAAATGCACAAATCACTTCAGATCTTAGACATCCGAAGTTCTGATTCAGTCGAACAAGTCCGGTCTCTAAACATAACATATGAATAGCAATGTCAATTTTCTCCTGCAGATCTCACCGATTCACGTAGTTCATAAACCCTTTGACCATTTTCGTCCTTTCTCACCACGACAGCTCTTGTCTGCATCGTAAAAGGGATAATTCAACAGTACCAATCATATGGGAAGTAGTGTTCTGAATACCTTAGCCCTTTATTTGTGGTACCGCTGTACTGTTAACAAAGATAATGCTGGCGCTCTTAACCAGGCCAGGTAAACGGTCACGCACAGATTTTCTCATTGCGTGACGTGACAAACTGAAAGAAAAGCACAGTTATCTGTTTTCGATCTCATATTTTTTTCGATCTCATATTTTTTTAAATTGAGAGGAAGTGCGAAAAGACGGAGTTTTATACATTGCTGAGTAAAATTTGTTTTTTTTTCATGGCTAATTCTACATTGGGAAAACGTTTTTTCCACAGAAGGAGAATGAGAATGATTTGTAAGTTAATGAATAATTTAAAATATCTATCAGCAAAAATTTGTCAGTTATCAAGTTTTTCAGTTTCAAAATAATTCATAGAAATGTGATGTAAAGTGGTCTTAATTCTTGTTGACGTCAAGACATGTTTATTTTCAAATTAGTAACCCTATGAATGCTGGGTAATTTAAGCAAGATGGCGCCCGCTACCTTACAGAAAATTCGGGATACAATCACGGGAAAAGAGACTCAAGACGATTCATTGATAACAGAGGTAACACAAAGTGATGCTACCTATATCGTTTTCCTGAATTATTTTTTTGGGCCACGAGAGACAACCTTTTCATGCCAGAAACACATCACATGTATGCTAGGTTAAAAAAGAAACCGTTGTGTCGTGGTTGAACACCGTAATTTTAGTACCGACACTTTGCGTTAATTGTAATCAAGCCTATGAGAAAACGAAAAATGCTCACAACTTTCTTTAGAAATTCACTAAAGAAGGTGTTAAAAGGTAGTCAACCTCGAATTTTTTGACAGAAACAAGAACAATCAAATATGTTGTGAAGACATCGTTTGGATCCCCTTCCTCTTTGCATCTGATCTCGCATTTCGTTTCTTACCTTTCTTATGTTGTTTTTAACATGTTGAAGGGGTGAACCATGATGTATATGTAAACTAATTTTGTAATTTGTGGTGTAGATGTATTTTTTGCCTGCGGATAGTTGTGTTTCTCTCTTTGAGGTTTGATCTACCTTAATGTTTGTATATCTAAGAGCCTGTGAAGATTTTCAGCATTATTTCCGTATAGCCCCATGCTCATTGTGTATGCAGTTTCTTGGTAAAAGAAAACAATGGCTAAAAAGTAGTTTATTTTGAGGCTTATGCTTTGTGTTAGAATACCGGAAGTACTTCATGGTGCGGCTTCAACGTACTTGACTGAGCTTATTAGTCCTTATGTTCCTAGGCGAGCTCTCAGGTCTGCTGACCAACTTCTACTGGAGCAACCAACACATAGGCTCAAATTGACTGGCCTGAGGGCTTTCTCAGTGTGCGTGCCTTACCTCTGGAACTCGGTTCCATTTGAGATTAAAAGCAGCGCATCTGTCTCTATTTTTAAAGCTAAGCTCAAGACCTATCTTTTTTGACAAGCATATTTTTAGACTTTAAATTTTTATTTAATTATAGGTTATGATAATTTGACACTGTAAAGCGCATTTGGGCATTAGGAAAATGCGCTATGGAAATAAATTATTATTATCATTTTTATGGTATATTTCTGATTTTCATTAGTTAATCACCCTTTTTTTCTCAGGCCCTTCCATTTTGAATTATCTGCTTTCCTTGTTCTACTTCACATATGAAAGTAACAAATCTTACATCAGGGTTGATCCCTAATACTAATCATGGGTATAATCTATTGATCTTGAATATTAACAGGTCAATGGTAGTTGGTTGAACGAAAAGGGTTGCCTCTCTAGTCTTAAAAAAATAAGATCTCATTTTTAGCATAGTAATTGTCCTGGTAACTAATTAACTCCAAAAATCTGAATTATTTATTTCTCCACCTTAGATGCGATCCATTTCTGTATTATATAAATGTCAATAAAATACAGAGTGAGCTTTTGCGCAAAAACATGATATCTCCACACATGTAGATAACATGTTATCTTCACATGTGAAAAGATCACTGTTGTAATGGTTCCATATAAAAATGCCTTTTGATGCAATGCCTTTGATTTATTATTTCATTGGTGCTTATATAATAGATAGAATATTACATAGTTGCTTGGAGATATGAAGATTCTCTTCTTGTGTTGAAAAATATTTCACTTGTTCTCTTAGCTCACTTGAGAAATATTTTTCAACACTCAAAGAGAAATTCTGTATCTCTGTGTGGCCATATGATATCCTCTATGTGTTAAATAGTTTAGAGAATTTATTGGTTTATTAACATAATACCTTCTAGCTGATAAGTTTGTCTCTTCATCACACACTTGCTGTACAAGTCAATGATTTTGTAAGGATGGGCTAAATATTTAGTATTACTTTAAGGAGTTGAAAAACTTGTGTTGCGCTGAAAATCATATCTTACTGTGGACCAAAATTCTTGGATTTCTGCACTCTGTTGGAGACCTAGGTCTTTAAAAACCCACTCCTTATAGTGACATACAAACTTATAGAGCCTGCTTATGGCCATGTCCCATCCCTGCTCCTGATGTTCAAATGAAATTAAGTGAAACTTGATGGGCTTGTTATTTAAACGAAGTTATGCCGTTGTTTAACAAAACCCTGTCCTAAATAATCCTCAATTTAGCTGGACCTTTTATCTGAACATCCATTTTTGTGAACAGTATCAAGGGTGCCTAACGCTAGCAGTGCAAGGACATTTATTCAATTAACCCTTTGATTCCCAAGATCACATTAGTAATTCTCCTAACTGTCTGTCAAACAATTATCATTATGTTAGTTTGGAGAATTTGGTATTGGATCAATTAGTAATCCCATAATTGACAGTTTACTTTATTCTCATCACTTGTCTGTATGATATTGTATAGATATAGTAAGGAGAAATTCTGTCTTGGCCACTCATGGGAGTTAAAGGGTTAAATCAACCCTCTTATAGAGAAAGCCTGAGGCCCCACTGACTATGTAAAAACCATGGTTTGGGTTAGACCTTGTGTAAATAACTGGCCCTATTGGTTTATAATGATGGAAAAGAAAGAATCGCAATTATTAAGGATAATGTTATTTAAGAGATTTAAAGCCCTTTCCTTTCAGTATGTTTGTAGGCTGCATCGAGTTAAAGTCAGTTTGGGATATTGATTGATTTCCTCTCAGATTTCTGATGCAACCACACTGAGCTGGTCCACAAGGATCAAAGGATTTATCATATGTTTTATTATTGGTGTGTCTTTCTCCTTTCTGGTAAGTTTTGAATTTGCTGAATGTTAGATTTAAAATATTATCAATATACAGCTCTTGTGGTGGAAGAAGATCAAGCTATCTCTGAGTTCTGGCCTTGTGTCGGATTTATGAGCTGAGCTTAACATTTAACTCACCAGATTATGATGATCAAGTGCTCATATCTAAAGCAAGGGTTTTATCAAGCACAGCACCCCCTACTGTATGGTTTAAAAATGGTGTCAACCTACCTCTAATAAAATAAACTGAAAGGAAGGATGGTCTCACCATGTTTACAAATTATTTTTCACATCTTCTTCAGAAATTGTAAAGAATATCCTGGCTGTTTTAACCCTTCAACTTCCAATATCTGATGTTAATTCTCCCTTAGTATTCTAAGGGAGAATTAGTTTGAGTATTCTCATTTCCTTTTTGTTGAATAATTTATGGATATTATAGGGAGAAGTTACATGTTTAATAAATTCTTGGAGTTTAAGGGTTAACTTCAATAGCATATGTTTTTTTCCAGGGAATGATTTTGTTATGGAAAGATATAAAATTATTTGCTGTGTTCTACTCACTGGGTAATGTAACAGCTCTTGCAAGGTTAGTAACACACAACCTGGTCAAGTCTAGCCACATTTTGACATTTCACTTAATGAATTACAGTGTAGATAAAATCAATGCTTGAATTGATTAAAATATAGTATAAAAGATAATATTTGATATCTTAGTTTCCTTTCCTTTGGTAGTAATTGAGCTATATAAGGCTATACTCTCACTTAGGTGCTAAATTTTCCTATATTCTGTGTGGAAATACAGCAAGATTGTTATACAACTGATGTTGCCTTCCTTTGCAGTACATGCTTTCTTATGGGTCCTATGAAACAGCTGCGAAATATGTTTAAAGAAAAGCGTCTGATTGCTACCATTGTAATGCTGGTAAGATGTACACATCCTCCACTTACTTTGAGTTGTTGTTATATTATGTACAGACTACTTTGTAGTTAAATTAAGACCAGACATCCCTGATATCTTTTAATTTCATTCATACTGAGATTTACACGATGAAGTACGATTGTTTGTGTCTCTTGGATGAACAATGTATTTTCATGGTCATTGGCTTCCAATCTTTGAATTTGTCAGTCAGTTTTAAGAATAAATTAAGTGTTGCTATATGAAAAGTATGGTAAGGGTGATAGGGAAAAAGAACATTGTTGGTTAAAGTGACTGATGTTTCAAAAACCAGCGCAGAAGTCATTCCAGGAATCAAGTGAAGATACATTTATTGAGCAAATGTCACCTATTCCATTTGTGAAAACTTATTTATTAGTTTTTTTGTTGGGTCTTTGGTTACAAGTTAGAGAGAAAAAGTGCATATCAGGTGTGATTGGTCATTTAACATTCTTTGTTAAAGTTAGATTTAACTGTTTGTTTCTTTGGTTTCCTGTTCTGAATGCTGGTTTATAACTTAGATCAGACTCCTCTCAATGATTAGTCTGGCACACTACATATGATTCATTCACAACATTAAATGATTAACATATTGTGGATAGTTTGCTTGAAAAGAATGACACACAATGACAAATAATTATTGAGGCTTTCACAGTATGGCTGTCTAAAAGGAACAATTCAATGCAGCAGATGACATGAGCATAATTTGGCAAATGAGGCAATGATTCCCATGTTTAACTTTGTGACATTGTTAATTAACTGTTAATTTGATTCATTTTTTATCTAGACCTGTCTGATTCTTACTTTGTGTGCAGCACTCTGGGTAAGATTTCACTTGGTTTCTAAGATGTACATGAATTACAAAGACTTTATTAATTAACTGATTTGACACTACTTAATGAGTTTTAGAAGGCTGCCAGATCATTAAATTTGTAGTACGATGAGTATTGAGGTATTTTTGAATGTTTCAATCTCAAGTACATTGGTTCTTACCTCAACTGCCTCCTCAGTCCCTCTCAATGTCATTCAGCAAGATGGCATAAAAACATTGGCAATTAACAACATTGGATGGGGAGACCTGATAAAAGACCATCATTGACACTTTTCGGTGAAGTGTTCCAACTAATTTTGTCTGGGAGTGTAGTCTTGTTTTGATGTGATATATAGTTTATAGGGAGATGCTGTAACCTAATGGTCAGTGCACAGGACTCTGGGTAGAGAGGTCTAGGTGCAAGACCTGGCTGGGTCAGTATGACATGTTCTTGGGGAAAACACTTAATTCTCACAATGCCTTTCTCCACCCAGGAATATAAATGGGCATTGGCAAACTGTTGGTGATACCTAATGAAATGCTGAAGGGTAAACTTGCGATGGAGGGGGGAGTTTTAATACTCTTAGTCACTTCATGTTACTTGGAAACCTGGATTAGCTCCAGCCGGGTTGTGCAATAGGCTCAAGTACAGACTTAACCTTTATAGTTTATAGCATTGTGCAAGGGTAGGGCTCACCACAAAACTTTCACAGTAACCTTTTGTACCCCATGTGAAAGCTTTTAGTTGGATGAAGTTATTTACCTCTTAACTGAGTTACTGACTGCAGGATTATAACATATTGTTGTTGAACTTATTCTATATTTTAGTGGAAAAACAAGGGACTGGCTTTGGTTTTCTGTATTCTTCAGTATTTAGCCATGACATGGTATGTAAATTTTGAATTGCTGCTTTTATCAAAAATAATTTCTCGTGCTATTTGAATATATACATAATTATCATAATTGTGTTTTTGCAGGTACTGCCTATCCTACATTCCATTTGCAAGGTGAGAATTCAACTCTTCCAAGTCTTGTGTTCATGGTCATTAGAACAGTGATTTTATTGTTTTAGGGTAGTGTAGTCCTTAGTGATTGAACTAATGGTTGTTTCCATAATGAACCCAGAAATATCTGCATTTGTGTTAGACAGGTACACATTAAAAATTATCAAATGAAAGGTTGCATGGGATGAAGCTCTCGGAGACTTTTGGTGTAGCATCTGCTTCTCCCTCTGTCTCAGAAGGGAATACATGATAATTTGCAGGAGAATCTAGCAATCTATCAAAAGTTGCATACGGATTTTAACTAAGTAAGCCTTCAAATAATGCAAAACAGTTTGAATGCTGAAAGTTAGATGGAGAGGTCTGTGTTAAATACCAGGCTGGAGGTCATCACAATTCTCAGGCCACTCTTCACCCAGGGAGTTTCAATTGGCATCACCAAACATTTGGGGTACACTGTCGATTGGCAGGAGGCCAATTGATGATTGGCACATTCCTTTTTGCTTTGTGGAAATTGGGATACCCTCTACCAGTTATGAGCTGCTAGTCTTGCAGAACTTAACACTATTTCTTTCTGTCTTTTTGCATCTTGTTTTCTTTCTTTTAGAGATGCAGTGAAGAAATGTGTCACAAGTTGTATGGCTTAATATATATATTTTTTTGCCAATGGAGACATCAACCAACATGTTCAAAATTTGTACTTACCGTTAAAAATTATCTTAATGATCATTGATGTGATGTTAATAATTCCATCCTAAATGTTGAATGAGCATTTTGAATGTCACCTAAATAACAAAGGGTCCAAATAGACCAAAATAGAACAAGGATTATTTGAAAAGGTTAAATTAGTTTGCAAATGTTGAACATTACAAAGTTAGGTTAAATTTCACAAGTTGGATTAATTGTAATGTAGCTCCTCTAAAGAGTTTGCAAACAGCACTTTAGCTTGTGAGCAGGTTGTCTTTGGCAGTTCACCTTGAATAGCAAAGGCTGCAAGACAAGACTCTTGTAGGCGTTAATGTACATGCCTTGCTGTTTGTGCCTCAGTATTTATGAGAGCATGCTCATAGGATACAATTACCATAGACTGAAATCTCTTATGGCTCAATTACAGTAACTGAAAATCACAAGCATTGTTTAAAGAGGCAAATGCCTTTTGTAACATCAACCTCTTAATCTTTTTTGTCAGAGCAAGTTGTAATGTTCAATGTAAATAAAGCAATTTGTTTAATGATATTTTACAGGATGATGGTGTTTGGATAGAATGGTCAGCAAAGTGTGGGACAGCAGAATATTAAAAAATTTAGTTTTTTATAGAAGGGGACATGATATGAAGGCATTGCAATGTGTTTGGTTTGAAATACTTTGAAGCTTTATTTTCTGCAATTCAGAACTGTGGTTGGTTGGTTGGTACAATTTATGGCACTCCCCCCTGCCGCCTCACCCTTCGTTTACCTAGATGCCAATGCCTGCCTCAATCTTGTTTCGTCTAAAAAATTGGGTTGTTGATTACCCAAGGTTTGCGTTTTTTGGTTGGTTACATTGTTCTTTTTTGTTGTTATTGTAAATAATTAAAAAAAAAAAGAATGAAAAAAAATCTATATATACAGTAAAACACACCAAGAGACAACGGATCAGAGAATAGGCCAATTTATAGTTGGGTACTTAGTTGCCAAGCCTTTGATTTGGAGTGAGGCTGAAGTCGACCATGTTCTGATAGAAACTAGTATCTAGTTTGCGTAATAACACAGTCAGTGGTACATTTGAAAAGCAGCAAGGTTTGTATCATAACAAGGTCACTCTTAGCCTCATTCCTATTTTCAAAGGCTTGGCAACCAAGCACGCAACTGTAAAATGGACTATTCGAACTGTTCAAGTATCACGTAAACAAAAACACTAAAAGCTATGTCGAAAAAGCGAGCATCCTCACCGGAAAATGACGAAAGGAAAAAGCAAAAGCTTTCACTTAGTCTTTCTGGGGTCAAAGCTGTGATTGTGGAGGTTGGTCTCGGAAAAACTCGGGCATCCATTTTGGCAAAACAACTGGAAAGACATGGTGGTATGCATCACAAGAACTTTGAAAGCTCAACAACACACGTGTTGGTTGACAAGAAATTAAAAATAGAGAGACTGAAAAAGTGTTTAGGTGTAAAAAGTATTCCTGAAGAAGTATACTTAGTGGATTCTGAGTGGTTGAGCAAGTGTCTGTCCGAGGGGAAACTCGTAGATTTAGAGCAGTACACTTTGGGTAAGGATGAATGTAAAGTTGAAGGGAAAGCTGTTAAAAATGAAGCGAATGTTAAAACAAGCGATCAAAAGCAGGCATCAGAACAAAGTGTTGATGAGCAAACTTCAACCACAATGCTTAAAACTGAAGCAATTTCATCAAATGACACAAAAACTTTCAGTAAGTCCCCAACAAAACACTTGACCTCAAAAACTCAAGTAGACGATGACAGTGATTTTACCGATAGTGGTGACGAGGGAAGCAAATCAGACAGATCTCCTGTTATTACACCCAACACCTCTCCAGAGAAACTTGGAAATGCAACCTGGGTATGTGCTCATGCCTCTACTACACAGCAACATAATCACAACCAACCTATAACTGACAAGCTTCAAGTTCTTGCAACGGCATATGCCAACATTAAAGATCAGTGGAGAGCTCTGGGATATAAGAAAGCTATAGCATCAGTCAAAAATTATCACAAAAGACTTGAAACTTGGGATGAATGTAGCAACCTTCCTTTTGTTGGAGAACGTCTTGCTAAGAAAATCTGGGAAATAGTTCAGACTGGTCATTTACGAAGGCTTGATCATGTGGATCCTAGACAGGATGCCCTAAACTTGTTTGTTGGTGTTTGGGGTGCTGGGCCTATAACTGCAGAAGCTTGGGTCTCTCAAGGACTGAAAAGTCTTGAGGATCTGACACAGCATGGGAAGTTAACTAGACAACAAGAGATTGGCCTGAAATACTATGATGAATTTCTAGAGAGAATGCAAAGGGAAGAAGCTGGAAAGATTGAGGAAGTTGTTAAAAAAGCTGCATTTGACATTAACCCAGGATTACAAGCCTTTGCTTGTGGATCCTACCGCAGAGGGAAACCAACATGTGGTGATGTGGACATCATTGTATCACACCCAGATGGGAAATCTCATGAAGGAGTTATGGCAAAGCTATTAGAAAGTCTAAAATCCTCAGGATTTCTTACAGATGATCTTACTTTATCTGACAATGGGGAGCATAGAAAATACCTTGGAGTTTGCAAACTTCCTGGGGAAGATACAAAGCACAGACGTTTGGATATCATTGTTGTGCCTTACAATGAGTGGGCTTGTTCTTTGTTATACTTTACTGGTTCTGATTACTTTAATAGGTCCATGAGACTTCTTGCTAAGAAGAATGGCATGTCCCTCTCAGAGCACTCCTTGAATAAAGATGTTGTCCGGAAGGGAAGTGACAAGATTTTTGAAGGAACTCCACTTCCAGTATTCAGTGAGAAAGATGTGTTTGACTATCTTGGCCTGGACTACAGAGAACCTCATGAAAGGGATTGGTAGTAACATCACAGAGTTTCCCTTGTTTATATAGAATGATAATTCGCATTAAAAAACACACCATACTTTTTGACATGCAGACATTTTGATGCTAGCAGTTTAGAGTGGAGTGAGTCACATATGGTATATGCATCTTGTTGTGATGCCTTTTAAAACTGGATAATTTACAAGAGCATCTGCCCTTCATGTAAGACATTTTTCATCAGTTTTCCAAAGCATAGATAGTGTTAGCTCTGGAAATATCACCAACCACACTATACTCTTGAGTAGATAGCAATTTATGTAGATCTTTTTATTATTTATTGTGAAATTTGCATCTAGTGGACAAGGGTTCAGTAAACAAACTACTCCATCCACTTCCTAGTGTCTTATCCTCCAGGTAACATTATTTATCCTTCAAACAATCAGAACTTGATGAGCAGTCTTTGCGCTTAAAATTTTCCTTTGTTCAATTTTTGTTTATACTGTGATTCTGTGATGTCTTTTCCCCTGTTTGAATTTGGTTTCTTGGTTTTAGTAATAACAGATAAAAGAAATCTCTAAGAGATCCCAAAAGTGTCTGGTACCTTAGCCTTATCACTTTACCTTTGGTATGAATCTTTATACTCAATTGAGTTTCAGTTTGGGTATATTTTTATTCTCTGATTGGTCCTACATGTAGTGACCCTCTCATTAATTTTAAAAAGTAGTTTAGGCAGTCACATGTATACTTATATTATGATTTTGTTGATTTTTATCCAGTAGGAGTTAAGTTATGTATTGAAATATGTTGCAGGCAACAGGTCTGACTCGATGTTGGACATTAAATGATAATTGAAGCATATTTCACATGCTTCAGATTTTGATTAATGTAATGAAATGTTTTAAGACTAGGATTTATTCAACCATCAATATTACGTTACAAAAAACATTTGTATTTTATACTCATGCATGTTGTTTATTTACTCTTACATTTACCAATTACATCTCTTTACATGGAAAAATTGTATTTTTTGAAGAGTAGTAATCTTTAGAATAAATGTTCAATAATGCTTTAAAAAAATCAATTATTTAACTATGTCGCTGGTGTTACACATACACAACAATAAACAATGGTAAATCTAGGGAGTTGTTTGATAGGAGTGGTGCAACCTTTGATTCTTAAGGTACAAATTTTTTTTCCTCATTAGAGCCTAAATAAACTGCAAGAGATTCCAAGACTTGTAACTATTGGTTATTGTTGAATTTTCAACTCTGAATATTATTTTTTTAATTTTATGATTGGTTCACCCAATTCTGGTTATCAGGTTATATTCCAAGTCACTTATGTTGAAATGCATTATGTCAACTGTTGTGGAGCAGAAAAACGCTCAAATATCCAAATGTTTAGGATTTAATAAATTTAGTAAAATGATTCCATAAATTTAATAAAATTTATGATGTAATAAAATTTTAATAAAATAATGAGGGGGTATGTACCTTGTTAGCTAATTACCATCTCATATGCAATGCACGCTCATGGAATGATTGGTAAATAACATGAGCCTGTCATTGCAAGAACTTTGGTTTTGGGAAAGATTTTTGTTTAAAAAACCTAACAATCCTATAGGGGAGCTGAATCCCTCTCCCTGGAACTTCCTCTGGTGTACACAGATTATTGGCACAGTTTATGAAAGCCATTAGAAACCATAAATTAGAACAATAGATGAGTGCTTGTTTGACAATCTAGGAAATAAGATAATTATTTGGCTACTATTCAAAATTCTGCTCCTAAATTTTTATGACTTGAACATATCTCTAACTGCTAGTTTTATTAATTCTTCCTCAAATTGTGGTTACTGGTATGTTGATGCATGCCCTCTTTTCATAGAATATCAATTTTAATTTAGGAATTAAATCAGGCAAATTAAATACAGAGATTAACAGAAAATTCAGCAATAGGAGGTGCTCATGATAAATTGGCTTTTTCTTTGTAATTGTTTTTAATGTGTGACTGTTCATGTAATGATGGCTGAAGAGAAATGGTTTCTGCAACTAAATATAATCTGTACATTATGATCTGCAAAATATTATTGATAATAATTTTGTTATTTTCTCTGAGCTTCTAGGTAGCTCAAAATATCTTCTTCCAATTTAAGAGCTCTGGGGAGAATGAAATTTACGTCAACAAAGGAGCCTTGACGGCTCCCTTAAGACCTTAGTGGCGCTGGGTACGCGTTCCCTTCCGGGGTGTTACTTGGTTAAACCCCCATCCAGGGGAGGCCTGGGGTCAAATTGGGATTGTCGACATGGCGGGCAGATAGCCTCGAATTCTTAAGTTTTTTTAAAATTGCGGAACTACAGGAAACTCTGAAGAACCACCAAAAATGGGCTTTCTTTGTGTCAGGAAGGGTGAAGAGTCTCTGATGTGTAATGGAACTTTATATGATCGTCACGAGGAAGCGCTAAACTACAAGGACGGATCATTTTGGGTTTACCTCGGAGTCTACATTGCCTTGGTGTTGTTTGCAGGCGAGTCAGCTTATAAATTATATTCTTTCTCGTAAGAGACTGCAATGATTCACATTTGAGGCGATTTTTCAAAGGTAAACGCACGAACAAAAATCGAAGTAGTTGATTCACAACGAAACTAAAGGTATATAAATTCTTAACGACTGGGCGTTATGGTTTAAAGTTCAGAAATAGCTGTCAAGGAAATTTTAATAATTTAATATTCAAGGTTAACTAAAGCTAGCAAAAGTATGGGGATAAAACTTGAATTTGTTACAAAATTCCAGACAAAATTTGATTTGATTATTTTTTTTCAAATATTTTATATTGGACACGAAGATTATTTTTCATTTTTACATTTATGTATGGAAATCTGGAAGGACGAGGTTACGTTTAGTGTCTTTTAAAAGATCCTTTTATTCTCCAAAAGCTCATAATTTTATGAAAAAGGTTGATTTTCGATTTAAAAATCATTTAGCTTTCAATCTTTCATTCTCAGACCTGGCCTGCACTACTTTTAATGACATATCATTTATGTTTAATTATATTTTTCAGGTTTGATGTCTGGACTGACCATGGGCCTACTATCACTGGATATTTTGAGTTTAAAAGTTCTGCAAAGGGGAGGGAAGCCACAAGAGAAGAAACATGCTGCTAAAATTTTGCCATTGGTAGAAAAACATCACTTGTTATTGGTCACTCTCCTGTTGGCAAATGCTGCTGCAGTGGAGTCTATGCCAATTTTTATGGATAGGATCTCCAGTCCTGTTATTGCCATCTGTGTTTCAGTTACTGCTGTGCTGTTTTTTGGAGAGTAAGAGGATATATATATAAAGCCTTTTTGTTAAAGACAAAGAGAAAACTTTGGGGTGACACAGCTATTTCTATGTCATACCCATGAATAGGTCTGTTTTTCTCAGAGAGTTGGAGGATATGGAGGGCTTGATCATGATTATGATCAAGATCTTTTAGAAAACTTTGCAGAGACATGGAAATGTTGTTTGTGTCTCTTTATATATATATTTGGCAAATTCCTTTCTGGAAGTGATGCTTTATTCCAAAGATTGTTTACCTGCTTGTACATGTCGGTGTCAGTTATTTTGTCTTGTATTTTCCCAAATAGATTCAATGAAAGGTATCTTTCATGACTGCTAATACTAAAACAAATAATAGTAACAGTTCAAAGTAGATGTTGGCAGGCTCTGTGTGGAGTTTAAGTGAAAGAACTGTCTTAATATGCTGATATAGACAAAGCCGAAGAACAAAGTGAGAACTTAGGAATGCAAAATTTAAGATGCTTTCTTATTGTGATCTTTGTGCATTTTATTGACAGAGTTGTTCCTCAAGCCCTATGTACCCGTTATGGCCTGGCTATTGGTGCAACACTGGCACCGTAAGTTGTTCATCTGTGTTGTTGAATGATGGGTGGAATAACTGTTGTTAGTATATACCACACAAGTGAAAAGTGCTTATAGGCACACTGATTGGTTAGTGCGGAAGTGAATAGCAAGTACCATTCACCTCTGAGCAGTGGATGAGACAAAATCACACGTCAAAGTTTAATTTTTGACCATTAATGGGTATAATGGAATAAATAAACTAATTTTTTAGTTTCTGTGTGTTATATTATAAAACAACCATTCACCTCAGTGTTTGTGAAAGTGGCAAATATCCACCACTATTCACTGCCACTGAGGTGAATAATTGTTAATTTTTTTTTTTTTATCAGTGGGGTAAATCCCTCTTTTAAAAACAGTTCATTTGTGATAAAGGTTCATGAAGGAATTTATATAGGCTTTGTGTGATCCTGCTTTTGGGAACTATATGTCAAGTAGCATATTTGCATGGATGAAAATGTATTTCCTGTGATACTTCTTCTCACCAAGTATGTTCCAGACAGTGTATGTTGAAATGGTTTCCAAACTAGTATGATTCACTCTCTCCCTGGTTCCAGATATCTTGTGATAATCCTTAAACAAGAAAAGGAATATGAAACTCACTCTGAATAAGAAGATAATGTCTTAGTTATGTTTCCAGGAAGAAGTATCACTTAGTTTTGTGGACTGCAATTTCCTGCCTGCTGACTACCTGTGAAATTGTTTCGCTTCGCAGGATGGTGAAATTGCTAATGTTGTTACTGTTTGTGATTGCTTGGCCCATTTCTAAACTTTTGGACTGTCTTCTGGGACATGAGCACTCCACTTTCTTCAGACGAGCAGGTACTACTACTGATAGTTGTCTTGTTACACAAAACGAGCATCCTTTTTAGCTTGGATCATGATAATTTAGCAGTTTTTGAATGAAGAACTGCCTCTAATCTCTATTCTGTTAGAACTACGGGAACTTGTGGATCTTCACAGAGAGTCTGCAGATGCAAATGAAGATCCCCTCAGAGATGACGAGGTCCTGATTATACAGGTATGTTATTGTGTGTGTGGGTTCCCTGTGTCTAGGCACAGCTGAAAGAAAATGCAAGGATATTGCATCCAAAAGGGAGTTTTGGACTGAAAGCTTTTATGAGATGGGGATTTTTTTCCCAGCTTGAACTTTTTTCATAAAGTTGTGTCATCCACATAAATGTCTTATATCAAGTTACTCTACTTAAAGGCATGTTGTGGACAAAAAAGTAAGAGAGTGGGTCCCAAGATCAATCTTTGAGACACTCCTTGTAAAAACTGCTTACTGGTGGAACAGCAGCCATTAATATGCATTTATTATTTCCTGCTTGTAAGATATGACCTAAACCACTTTTTAAGAGTTTTTTTTTAACTTAAAAGGCTTTTTCACAATGACACGGTTGATACTTGAAACTGTTTTTCCAAATTTACTCGTTCACCATATGAAACATGTACAGTATAAATGTGAAAGGCTGGATTAGAATTAGTGTTCGATTTTACACTTGCTATATAGTCCAAGTATTCATCTATGGAAACAGGGATGAGGAGAGGTAATGGGGATTCAATTTTTCAAGGGTTTTTCTGCTTATAAGATGGTATATTATAAGTTGAGTTATACAGAAGGACAAGAAAAACTTTATTACCACCAATTTAAAAATGTTTCGAGTTGTACTTTCAAATTTGAAGCATTGTGCCATCAAGCAGTCTTGTCTAATAATGGTGTCCTGTTGCTGCAGGGAGCATTGGAAATGAGGAACAAAACAGTGGCAGATAGATACACACCTTTGGAGAATGTTTTCATGCTAGATGCAAATTGCAAGCTGGATCATGACACAATGACACAGGTGAGGAGTGTTCAAGAATTTTGAAAAATAGAGCACATTTTAATTGACAGTTTTAAAATTAAATTATGGCACAATTGAGGTTATTTGGAACTAGTGTAAAATATTTCCTTCTGTTCTGTCTCACACTATGACTAAGCGGAAACCTCTCTAGCCATAATAAATGGTTTTATACATGAGAAATTTAAACAGAGTTTAACTTTTAGCCCCATGTGAGTGCCAATTGTATTTCACACTTATGCACCAAATGATTGAGAGGTGGTAGACATTTCCTGGATTACAAATTTAAAATTCTCTCTATTTCAATGTTCTTTTTAACTTTTAGACTTGGATAAGTGCCAATTGTATTTCACGCTTTTGTACCAAATGATTGAGAGGTGGCAGACATTTCCTAGAATTCAAATTTCAAATTCTTGTTATTTCAATGTCCTTTTTAATTCTTTTGTTTGGACTCCAGATTAGTGGAAAAGGCCATTCACGTGTACCTGTGTATGAGGGAGACAAAGAAAACATTGTGGGGCTTCTGTTTGTCAAGTCACTTATCATGTTGGACCCTGACGAGGCCACACCCATCAAAGATGTGTACAAAGCTGGATCTTTTCTATGTTCATCTACGACTGAACCTCTGTTTGATTTACTAGACAAGTTTCAGACTGGAAAAAGTATGTATGTGCCTCTAGTGTTTGAGTTTGTTTCAGGGTATGATTCAAAAGCCTACAAAATATGAGAAAGTTGGGGAGAGTTGTGGGGGAAGGATTACACTGGACAAGAGGTACCATTCAAAGGCTATCTGATGTGAAAAAAATCCAAAATTAAATCGAGAATGTGACTTTTTTTCAAGTCTTTTTTATTCAGTTTGAAAATTCCAGGGATCTTCCAGCCGTTATTTGTGAATATTTTAAGTGAGCTCAAACCCAACCCAACTAACTTTTTTTCAGGGTGTCTCTAGTGTTTACATTCTGTGGTACTGTTTATCACGAAAATGAGCCATTGAATTCTTCAACTGAACCTCTTATTATTTTAGGAAAATCTGTAAATGAAAATTGAATTTGAAAGCGAAGAATTTTCCTTTTTTTAATCCAGGTCATCTTTGCGTCGTTTTCAAGACACAGATAGACGAAGGCAACAACATGAAATCGGTAAGTAACTGACCTAAGATTGAAATCGTGAGTGAACAATAAGTTGTCCTGTCGAAGGGTTATGAACCTTGAGGTCGATTAATCGAATCTCACATGCAGGAGCGTTACAGGACGTTTGGTTTTACCTTACGTGACATAATCATACGGACTACGTCACTCATAATGTGTTTTCCTTTCACACTGGAATTTTCCAAAGTTCAGCGCATCCATCAGTGACCTTTAGTTTTTTTTTAACGAATTCGAGATTATCTTCCTCTCCCGTCTAGAATGAAATATATATTTAAGAGGAATTGGCGTATTCCAGGCAAGGCTGCGAAAGTCCCTCTTGCTCCCTCATTTTCTCTTGGTAGTGCTTACAGTAATAATAGCGGAACTCTTTTCCTGTCTCATGTTCTGGACTTGAAACAACAAAAAAATGCTCAAGTTAAGTAAGAAATTATTTATTAATTACTTCAATTTTGGTTTCTGAGACATATGGCTATTTAGGCTCATCTATCAGAACTGGTACGCTCAAACGTTGGTACATGTATTCAGTTGGACTGAAGAGAATGGACACGCGCTTGCTACGCCCTTTTGCGCAGCTAGTGCGCGGGTCTAGACCTCGTGACATTTCTTTTCACAAATCTCAATTTTGTGTTGTCTTCGTAGCGAGTTGTTGGCATTATAACTCTGGAGGATGTGCTTGAGTTGTTGATACAAGAGGAGATCTGGGACGAGGCAGACATAACATGTACTCGAAATCCACCTGACGTCAGCAAGAAGGTGTCTTTGGCCAAAGCGAGGTTGAGTAGAATGAAATCAGTCGATGCTGAAAGATCACGAAGACCGCTCAGTCCTGGTTTCAAACCGCCAGAGGTAAGCTGTGGAGTGTAACTGTCGTACTGTTGTTGTATAACACGGTGGAACCTCAGTCTAACAAACCCATTACATAGCATACACTTTTCTGAAGCTGCTACACCTAGACGGGCTGCCAGTCCATCGAAGGTAACCTCCTTAGCTTTTAACTGTTTGCTGGTACTCCTAGCTGGAGAGAGGCTATGAGAGAGTCAAA